ATATATATATATACTATATAACTTTACCATTAAAACTTCACACGAAATTACTAACAATATTAACATTTGATTAGTTATGTTCAAAATGAACATAACTAATATATGGATTCACATAGTAGTTATTAGGTATTAAGATCGCTATGATCGAAAAATATTTTTTATCCAATATTTTCTTCTCTTTCGTACATCATATACAACGCGTATTATTAGCGTTCAAAAATTCCCCGTTTTTCAATCCTTTAGAATCCGTTAGAAATCAGAGCAAATCTATTAAAAATCCGTATAATGGAATTTTCAACAAATTCAGTTTCCTCTTTTAACAACGCGGTTCAACGAACGCTTGACGGTGATCCGCGACACCTAGGATAATAGACACGAGCAACATATACAGATACAGATCACCTGCGCTTGTAACTTCCGCAGCGAGCGCATTATTAATAGTGCGAATTGGTATTTGCACCGTGCAACTTTCGCAACGAATTCCACCGCACCGTCCGGTACGGCGACCGACGAGGTGTGGAAACAGCGGCGAAAACTTTCGCGGCCGTCGCCGGTGCGGTAGTCGGAACCGCAGCTGGTCGTGGAAAGCGGGAAACGATCGGAAAAGGAGAGGAAAAAGGGAGACGATCCGGACGAAAATCCAACGGGGTCGCTCCCCTTTCCCCCTTCCCCCTTTCCTCCCCGCGGGCGCTCATCACCGATGAAACCGATGTACACGCGCCTTCGCGCGTAATCGGGCTTACGAGAACTGAGTTAATGCACTTCGGGGTGATAAACTTTTCGACGAGAAATACGGGACGCGACGATTTGCTCCTTGCCCATCCTCGATTTAAATCCCGCTCTAAAAGCGGCTCCGCGATTAATTTTCAGCTCTTTTTTTTTTTTTCGACGATCCCTGTGGGCGCCCAAGGCCGGAAAAAAGAAAGTTCGTTAAAATTGACGACGGCGGTTTCGTCGTCGTTGGGCGAATTAAAAGAAAGTTGTCCTTTCTTCGAATTAGTTGCATTCGCATTAATTGCATTCGTGTAACATCTTTAAATTTTAATATTTTTGAAAATACATAGACGGATACACATACGCACTTAAAAATAAAATATTTTATTGTATATAGTATTATTTTAAAAAAACTATAACATTTTTTATGTTACCACATTAATATTATTGTAATATCAGATAACATTTAGTAAAATTCTTTAGTAAAATTCACTTTCACTTTCTATTAATGCTGAAAAAAATTTTCAAATGATTGGCACCCCGATAAATAGATGCAATATTCTTAAATTTTGTAATGCGTCCTTAATACCTCTTTTCCTCCGCAGCCAATTGAAGGGTTGGCCAATGAAAGAATACCGTTAAAACTTTTGCTCTAGTAACTTCCTCCCGACAAAAAAAGGGAATCAATACGCTATCGTTATATGTAATAACGTGGCAATTCGTTTCGCTTTTCCGAGGGGGACGTCGAACTTTTCCCTGGCGATGCCTCTCTTCACGCGACTGACGGCGTTTCAGTATAATTTCCCAACATCGCACACTATGTGATTTCCTTCGCTTAGAGATGCTTCCCGACGAGTACGTCGGAAAAGTTTTCGCCGGTGGGAAAAAACTGCGGCGGTAAAGTATGCCCGTAGCGCGAACGAGCGAGGGAGATCATGCCGAGCCCCGCCTCGTGTAACGTCAAAATGCGCTGGTAAAGTTACCGTGTAATTTTGCGGAGTACGTGAAGAAGAGGTAGAGGTAGAGGTAGAGGTCGACATCGCCGAGTCGTTCCCTTCGTCGTGGTCGTGGTCGTCGTCGTCGTCGTCGTCGTCGTCGTCGTCGTCGTCGTCGTCAACGAGTCGCTTCTGTCGACGCTTACGACACTCACAAGGAAACCCTCGCAATATCTCTCCGATTTTCACGAGCTTTGCATATGCCGTGCGAATATGCTGTAGACAGCTCAAAATCGCAGAACTGCTGATATCTCTTTTCCTCCCTTCTGTTCTTTTATGCGCTTCTCGCCGAGATTTCAAACAAATACTCTTGTTTCAAAATATTCCTGCAGATTCTCCGGATCTCTGATTTTGAAGTAATAAAATTACATAGGTCCTTTGCTGTCTGTTTCTGCATTTTTGAGACTTCTATCTCTCGATATGCAATCGAGTATGAAAAAAAAACTATCGACGTCCTCGACAACATAACAGAACCATCTGTGCTCTGCTCGATCCCCTGTACATGGGGTTTAGCGAAAGAGCGCGACTTCTGACACACCTTGCGTACAATCGAGCGAATTCGACATGCACAAGGATGTTTCCTACGTGCTACGTCAAAGTGCTAAACTCATCGCGTAACTTCGGCAAGAGAAAAGGAGGTCGGCTACAGCGCGCATATAGCGCGGTCGCCTTTCGTAGAACAAAGAGACCGCTTGACAAACTCGTCAACTCGATTTGCTCAGAGTCGCGATTACGTTAGACACACCACGAGTATAAACTCAACATTGACGGCTCTGGACCGTGACTTTGCTTCTTTATTTAATTCACGCGAGCTCATTATGGTGAGTTATATATCGATTTAAAATTATAGAATTGAAATCACAAGGTATATGAATAATACATCTTTTCTCCTGCTCAACGAAATGAGGCAAAAGTAAATATCTAACATTGATTAGTCTTATCCCATTTCCACGAAATTGAAATTAACTTATTTATTTAATTGTAGATTAACTTTGATCTTGATTAAACTCACTTTCTACCTTTATATGAATTAAAAGAAGGTAAAGGGTAAATTGAATCGAGACCAAAGTTAATCTACATTGGTGCAAATTGGAGGTAATGATCAAAGTTGAGTTAAAATAACTGAAATTCCTCGAATAAGAAATTGCATGCGAAATTAATGGCATAACTCAATCTAGTTGCAGAGGATCGGAAACCTCAGACGAAAGGGCTAAAGAGTTAAGAATCGTATCTAGAAGCCGCGAGCGAATAGACGAGAAAACTGTCGTCGTCCCGTGCAGGAACAGAAGGTGGTGTTAACCTTCCCTTGAGCGAGCACGGTAAACCTAGTTAGCGAAACACGTAGCATCCGCGCGAAGTTGCGAGTGCAGCCGAAACTCGCGGCAGACGCGGCGAACGCAGAGGGATGAATGCGGGCTACGGAGTTGCGCGGGAGGGAGGGGGGGGTGGAAGAGGAGAAGGTTGGGTGGCAAACCGGGACCGCTGCCGCCGGTGGGCGGCTGGGAAGTTTCGAGACAAACAATAACTACAACAATAACAACAGCGGCAACGACGGCGGCGTCGGCGACGAAGGCAAGTACGTCGTGCACGCGCCGACGATAATTACAACAATAACCGTAACGACGTGAGTGGCGCGGGTAGGGGCGGGGAGAGGCGGCGGTTTAATTAGAATCGTGTCTGTCGCCGACTTAAGCTCCCTCGTTGACTCGCTTTGAACGGCGGCCGGGCCGCTCGCGGGATTTTGTCGCCCACCCCCCCCCCAAGACATATAAGTGAAAAATCCGCTTAACCCTCTCTCGCGCCTAATGGCTTGTACGTGTCGTGTGAGAGGAATGAACGATAGTCCTCTTGCCGAAATCGTGCACGAGCGTATTTATGAGAGATATAATGCTCAAGAGCGTTTATCAAGATATTGTAAGAGAAATATTACCCGTAGGATAACCGTAGGATAATTAAGACATCATTAGAAAAAGGGAATCTTACGATCTTTTATTTGTCCGATAGATCTAAAGATATAAACAAAAATAAAATTTCCGCGCAGAAATTACAAAGAAAAAAATTATCGATATGGTTATAATCATAATGCTCATTGCAACCAAATAACTAACTCAATAAATTAATGAAATTAATAAGTTTTCCTTTACGATATTTATTAAACGAAAATTACCTAAACATCTTTATGCTTAGCCAATAGCGATAAATCATAACATACCATATAGTTATGGCTGTAGATTCATGATCCTACAATCATTATTATATACATCATTATATCTAGATAAAAAATTAAAAAAAAGTTAAAAATACATACTGCAACTATAAAGATGTCGATTTCCTCTTTAATATCTGAATCACTTAAATAACCTTCTTGAAATGCTGCTATCAATAAGATTATCATAGACAGACGTTCTTTTTAACTAAATTACAGAATAGAACATATCAATCAATCCCAGTAGTAAAAATATATATTTACTATACAATATAAATCAGAAATAAGCATGATTTTTAAATTACTCACATTAAATAATATTTTACCTTGTATTTATATTAATAGTTAGCAAATAGCAAATAAAATTAATAGTTTTATTCAAATGCATAGAAACATATTGAATCAAAACGTATATTGACAAGATTATTATAATTATTAGAAATATTAAACAAACAATAATGTTCGTTACATATTTTCGAATTAACTAATTCAAGCAGATCTGCTTGAAGATGAAAAATAATTAATAAACATTGATTATTTTTATTTTTATAAGAAGACATAATGATTAAAAAAAATTTAAACAGTGAAGAATAAATTTTCTTTTTCAATTTTTTTTTAGAAATTTAAACTTGATTTATACTGCCACCTATATATTTAGATATAATATAAACATACATGTAAGTATACAAGTATACATAATTCATAAATTTATAAACCTATAATACACCATATAAATCCATAATATACATAATTATATTTTTTTAACTTTGTAATATGTTTATCTATAGATTCTAAGAATCATATTTCTTTTAAATATCTATATGTGTTTTAGTGATTGGAATAAATTTTAAACGCAATGGATTAGCGGGGCGCATCAACATATCACCATTAAGCTGAATGTCCTTTAAATTCTCTATTGGTTCCAAATGGAAATTATATATAACAGAAGCTATCATAGATTTCATTTCCAATAGAGCAAATCGTTGGCCTACAATTTGATATAAATGTTATCATAATGACAGTTTCCGTAATAATATAATTTATAAAAAAATATTGAGAAGATTATTGAAAAATAATTTACCAATGCAGTTACGTGGGCCACCACTAAATGGCAAATATGCACATGGATGCTGATTTCGAATATTCTCGGGTAAAAATCTGTCTGGATCAAATATCTCCGGATTTGGCCAATAATTTGGATCTCTCTGAACTCCATGAATACTAATAATCACTGTCGTTCCAACTGGTACTAAATATGATTCTAAAAAATGTTATAAAATAACTTTCAATTTGCAAGTACTTAAGACATTACATTACGTAAAATGAAGAAAAATAATATCCATCTAACACAATACAAAATAATATGTATAATTTTTAATAAAAGAATTATATTTCTATAAAAGAGAAAATAATTGTAATAATTTTTAAAATTTATTAGAAAGTATTTTTAACTTTAAAAATGTATTTTTTTTTAATTAATATAAATGAAGATGTACATTTAGATTTATATTTCAAAATATAACAAGAAAAATAAGATACATACGTAATTTTACATCTTCGGAAGTAACTCGTGATATGAAATAGGCAATAGGATACAAACGCAATGCTTCTTTTATACACCTTTCTAAATACGACAACTTTAGTAGCGATTGCATAGTAAATTTCTCTTCACTTTCACGCATCACAGTATTGACTTCTTCTCTAACACGGTCCTATATTATTAAAATGAATTTATATATTGTAAAGACATTGTTAATTTTACGTTAGTATTAAATCTTGTTTCAAAAATGTAATTTTTTCTTGAAATATATAATTATATGCTATAAATATGTCTATAAACTTTGCTTAAAATACAAAAGCAATTTGAAAAAATACATGCATTGAACATACACTGTACATATACAAACGTACACAAACTTAATACAAACGTGCGTACATACGCGCGCACACATTTATATAAAAATGCCTGTTACATTCCATTTTGTTATATTACAACAGTTTGTTGACAATGTCTTCAATAAGCAGAGCAAAGATATGGCAAACTCTTTGAAAAATATGGAAGATCCAATTGTAAAGAATTTAATGTTGTTTGTCAGTGAATATACGCTAAATACAATTTGCGGTATTGCATTTTGATTACAATCATATAATGCTTTCATCTTATTATTAAACAAACAATGTGAATTTTATATGCAAAATATAATTATAACAAATTAAAGAATAATATTTAATTCTAAAAACAAAAGCTTTTAGAAATATTTGAGCATATATTATCGTGATGCTATTTTAAAAAATGCTTTTGTAGATGCTGGCACAAGTACTTCTTTGAGAAAACATTTTGATTCGTTATAGCAACAGTATCGACATGCAGTTGATAAGATGTTCGAATTCGTGATATATAGGTAATTTATTATATTTTATATATATATATATATATATATAATAAATAGCTACAAAGTATCCAGATAAGTGAACACATTAATAGCGTTTAATTATATGAAAATAATAATTATACTCTACGTGGAAGTTTGCAACGTTTTTAAACATTTAATCATTGAATCACTTGCTTAAAATAAAATCTTAAAATAAAATTTTAAAATGTTAAACGTTTACTATGATATAATGATGAAATTAATATACTAAATTTAAAAACGTATCTAACATCTAATACCCTTGTTTTTTC